CGAGTCGGTGCTCAGCGACGTGGTGGACAGGTCGTCCAGGAAGTCGAAGTTGGAGATGGCCTCCCGCTCCTTGTCGCCGAACCGCACGAAGAAGTCGCTGCGGCCGACGATCGACTGTCGGAGTCCCGCCGCCGGGCACCGGAGCACGCCGAACCCGTCGCGGATGGCCGACGCTGAAACAGCAAAACGGTTGTTGTAAAATATAATATTATATTATACTTATTATTTTTTTGATGTATCGATTTTCATAACCCGTGCGAGCACGGTGAACGGGAGACCCCCCTGTCGAAGGTTTGACGTGACGACCTGCACGCGCGACCGGGGTTTTTGGAGGGCGAGTTTTTGATCGCATATCAGCAATTCGATTTACAAATAAGTGTGGGGGGGGGGTACCTATAACGTTGTCCGGTAAACTGCTATTATTTCCACTATACTACATCGCCAATATAAAATATCAGACGTTATTTAAAGGGCACTTACGAAGTCGCAACAGACGATACGCTACAATATGTACGGTATAAACTACGTTTTATTTATTACCACAGTGAGTATAACATTGTACTGTTATTGAATATAGCGACCAAACCTGAGGGTATAAAATCACAGATAAAGATATCCCGAAAACGCTTATTGAAAATTCAGTTCTTACGAGAATACGAGAAGCCCTTTAATTTTAATATCAGATTTTATTATGATATTGTACTCATTGTATTTTTATATATAGTACGAGTGGCAAGACACCACGCAAATATTTGTTTCACTGCTCCCATTCGCATAAACTTCAGAAGTTATAAAGCTTCCAAAGATGTCGATGGGATTTTGAGCAATTCAATTTCTTTAAATATTTTATTATTCAAATTAAAAAAAAAAGCACGAGAAATATATTATCCGTGCCGTATTACTCTCTGTAAACGCCTCAGGGCCTTCTTCCCGCGTTGAGTTAAAGTGAAAGGGAAAATATCACGAAAACAGACGATTTTGATAATAATATAAAAGAAAATCCTAATCTCTTGTGATGTTAGTTAACGTCTTGATAGACACAAATCTGAGATCAATGCAGATGCGAAAACGCTATAAATACGTATAAGGGTACCACCAATACATTATCGGATTTGGATTGCCGAGCCGGACTGCAGTCCAAAATCTAGGTGTATGGAGGGAAATGTTCAAATTAACTGGCCCACCCTCAAGCCATCGGCCCACGGTACTAGACGACAATTTTACCTTTTTTCTGTCTGCGCACCCGGTGTAGCCTATGCAGACGGTTGTACGATTCCTCGTTTGATGCTTCGATTCTGGCCTCGGCAGTCCGCCGTCTGTCGACTTGACGAGCGGTGTCGTCGTCGTTTGGGTCACACTCGTCGTCACTACTATCGTCGGTCGTGTCGTTGCAGCCACTGCCGCCAGCTCTGCCACTACAGCTTCCGCCACTGACGCCACTGCTGCAGCTTTCGTCGTCGTCTTCACCCGTCGATGCGGTGCTAGTGCTGCTAGAAGAACTTCTACTGGCTGCCAACATAACGTCTAACAGGTTTGCTCGTTCCTGCAAGTGCAAATAGGAAATTGTGTTAGACCGGGTTAAAATCATATACGTGCTAGCTACAAAATAAAATGTGTATACATATATATATATATATATATATATATATATATATATATTATATGTATAATCACAGAACAGTGATTGCAGCTATAGTAGTCATTAGATTTTGACACAAGTTACATATTATAATGGTGCATGTAATTGTAATATTATAATCTAAAACATAATATGTGTACATTATATAAAATTATTGTTATATTTTATTATTCCGATTCTCGGAAGCATCCATAAAAATGTAAACAATACGATTGATCGATGTAATTTGTATTAGTTTTGTTTTAGTAATAGATTTATAACGAAATTTATTATAAAATTCCAATATATTTTTACCTCGTAACGATCTCATCGCACGAAGACTGATCGTATACTGCCACACGACTGATTTTGATTATCGGATAATAAAAGTTACTGTTACGCCTATTCAGTAGAAGTATAAATTGAATAATAAGTCGTATTGTGTATACAATAATAAAATAATAATTTATGAAGTAATAAAATAATAACTATGACAATGAATACTCGTATTTGTTGTCAGTCATCACATACACCACGCAAATACATCGTAATTGTCTTAATCGGTGTTCGAAGTTTGAAATTCCATGCGACGGTGTCGGGCGCCGTCGTTAGATGGGAAAATATTTTATATATTTAAGTTATTGTTATGTACATATTATTCACTATAGTCGGAACGGATGAAAGTTTTTTTAATGTTCTGCTGCAGCTGATAACCGTATGCATTAAGCCTAATTGAATATTACAGTACGCGTAGCATAATTATTAGGAAATAATTTATGTAATTAGATTAAAATTTGTGAAGGTCTTATCATCACGTGGTTTATTACATCCAAATACTGCAGAAGATTATCGAAAACTGATTTCCGTATGGTAGATCGGGTCGTAATGACATTGTAATATAAAAAATAAAAACCATCATCTAACGAAGATAATTTTTCAAACAAATAACAATTCATATAATATAACAGACTTTGTATTTGAGTTTCTGTCACGCTAATGACTGTCTTAAACTATTAAATTATGTTATATGTGTTGTCACAGTCAAAAAATGTCTGGCATTGATACATGATTTATACATATATAATATAAATTATATCAAAGACTTTATTGAAAAGAATAAATCGATGAATAATTGTCATTAGGTGGGTTATAACTTATGCGTTCTAAAAATGTATATTACGAGTATATATAATATTTTCAGTGAAGGATATACATGAACGGGTTGGAGAGAGGGTGATAATTTCTACCCTTGAACTGAGTTGAGCTTTAAAAAAAATTATGTATCGAATTAATGTTGTAGTTTTTAAATAAAGTTTTTTCAAGTCAAGTATACATTTATTGAAATTTAAGGAGATTCGATAGTCGATACAATTTTTTCGAGGAGTTAAATATAGGCATTATATGCAGCAACAGTGTCATTTGAGTGAATGCTACGTAGCAAATGATCATTATAAAATGATTATAGTATGCACTACGTATAACCGATAATAAATCTACACGTAAGTTCAAAAGTTAATAAAGCACAGTTAAATGGTCAAATAATATTATTATTTTGTCTAAAAGTATTAATATCAAGCCAATTGTATTGACTGATTTAGTTATCCGATAAAATGTTTGAAACGAGGGAAACCGGATTTAATTCATTATTAATTGAAAAAACTCGTGGGAAAGTGGAAAATAATAAATAACATAATATATACCAAACACCGAATATTTTTATATTAACAGAATTTTTTCTATTACAAAATGAATATCCATCACGAATAACGAATATTCGTCATGATGGTGTACTCGTTTACTCACCACTTGGATTCATAGTAAAGATTCATGAAAATACGAGAAGCTCATTAAGTGATGCGATTCGGGTCTTAGAATTACCATTACACCACATATTATAAAAGTTAAAACAATATTTCGAGCAAACTAACCTTAGGATCGGCGAAGTCTATGTCTCGTTCGACGTGCACCCATCCGGTGGGACAACAACACGCCTCGTCCAGGTCAGGTGACGACGACGGAGAGCGACGTAGAACCACATCATCCTCGGGAGACGTGCTGAAAAGGGGGTGGGCTTCACCACAACCGTCCATCCAGTTCAATTGGTCGATCAGATCCTTGGACGAGGCAGCCGCCCACGCGGGAACCATGCACACCGTGGTGTCGGCCGTGCAACCGCTACTCGAACCACCGGCACCGGCAGACGATGACGGCGGTTGCGGGGACGTCGACTTGGCCGATGCTTCTTCGTCTTCTTCCACCACGGTCCTGAGCAGCGTGGACAGTGGCGTGGACGCGGCCGTGGGCGATTGGTCAGCCACGTAACTGCAGTCCTCGGGCAGGCATTCGATCTCAACGTCGCTGCCACACAGTCCGCTATCCTTGGAGTTGAGCAGGTTGTCGCTGCAGCTGTTACTGTCATACGTCTGATGCACCGCCGGCAACGCGGACGGTGGCGTTGGATTTGATGTCGGTAGCGTCGGTAGCGGCGGTGGTGTCTGAGGCCTCGTATCGGTCACGGATCGATCGGAATGACGAGATTCCTCGGGCGACGGAGCTCGCGGTGGTTCTCGTTTGTCTTCGGCTTGTCGGGACAAGCAATACTGCTGTTGTTCGGCGATAAAGTCCAGCACGCTTTGTAGCGCTTGGTCGCGATCCAACTGCGCCTCGATCACCGGCGGCGTCCGGTGATCGCATCCTCCGCCCGTCACGCTTCGTGAAGAGGTGGAAGCCAGGCTTTTGGAGCTCTCGAACTTGACCAGTCGGTAAAAGTCACGAGTGAAGTCGGTGCCGGCGATCGGGCCAGGTGGCGGTAGCAGTTCGATGCTGTCCGCAGAACAGCTGACCGATGACCTCTTGGACGTCGGCGTATCGGCTACCGCGTACTCGTCCGCGCTCGACCACGAGTCGCCACCTGGCGAACCCGAACCGTACGACAGCTGTTGGTGTTGTTGTTGGTTTTGGTGCAGGTTGTGGTGGTGGTGATGGTGATGCAGCTGTTGCTGACAGTCGTGCTGATGGGGATTGTGCACCTGATTCTGACCCTGCTGCACGTAGGAGTGCTGTTGGTGGCTTTGTTGTTGGCGATGGTGGTGGTGGTGTTGTTGGAAGTGGTACCACGACATGTCTCTGGTCGATCCCATGTCCTGCAGCAGGTCACCTTTGCGGCCGCCGGACGTCGACGACGAACCGGTCGCGTCGTCTTCCTCGATGCACGGCAACGACTGCTGCAGCTTTCCGTCTACCGCCGACATCCGTTTCCAGCCGTTCGACGTCCCCGTGCCGTCGTCCATGCTCCAGTCTTCCAGCTCGGCCGCGTCGTACTCCATCCGCTGTTGGATGGCGGTGCGCGTCTCGTCCAACCGGAGCCAGTGCTGCACATAGTCCATGTCCCACAGTTCGCCGCCACTGTACCACGATGTCCTATCCTCGTCCTCGGCAAAACCGCCCGTGGCCGCGGCCAGCTTCAGGAAAAGATGCGAGTCCGAGTAGCTTCGCATGATGTTCTGCACCGCCGGAACACATCGTAACGGTGGGTAGCTGTGACGCGGGTTGATGAAGCTGAACGACAGGCTGAGCGGCACAAATATCACGTCTGTGTCCTCGCTATTCATCACCCTGCAGCGTGAAACGTAATTGTTCATCAATCGTATTATAAAATATATCATATGTAATCGTACGAGGTTGATTTCGTGCATATAAAATAATAATGAAAAATGTTTTTTATTCCATTTTTCCCAATTTTTTTTAATGTCATATACTTTCGTAAAATTAAGGAAATTTTATTTTAGTATATAATATAAAACGAATCAATCGATAAAACCAATCTAAATATAAAGGCTTTAATATTGTTTACCATAATATTATACCAAACAATGTATAACGAATTGTTGTGAAGTCAACATATTATGTTAATTATCAGTCGTATAATAATTATGAAGACAGACATCACTTTTAAATAGTCAAATTAACTCTCTTTATGTATAAATTAACTCAAATCAATTATAAACCATCTCATTACACTACTTAGTTACACTACTCGTAACAGTGATTAACAAAGTCTTCTGGAAAATATGTCTAACTAATACCCACTTTAAAACCATGAAATTATTTTTATGGACTTATAAACGATGTATTGTTCGATTACTATTATTTTGCAACAGAACGAATAGATGATTCAATCGGCCATCGTGAACAAGATGAACGCAGACACACAGACACAGTTAAAATAGATTGCCATAACGAATCGCCGAGTACATTAAAAAAAAAAAAAAAAATGAGTCTGTGTCTCTTATTTATTTATTTTTTCATATCCATTAAAGTCGATTTATTCGAAACGGTTCATTAATGCACAGTTCGTTTAATGTAATTGCCCAAGGTTGAGATACATTTTATACGGCTCGCGACATTTATTCAACCCTAACTGGCACTTTGCATGTAGTTAAAAACTATATAATGGCTCAATATACATAGTGTCCGGAAAGTTAATCGTTGTAGTATTGCTGTTAAATAAAAAAAAAAAATTATTATTGATCTATACAAAAAATTGCATATCCGAACGAATAATAATAATAATAATAATTGCAGTGCATGTTGAATAGCGAATACTTATATCAGACATATATTTAATTATAATGGGTAAATGAGAAAAAAATTGGTCTCACGTCTTATATTATTTGTTTTTCGAACCTTATCGATCGTTTTTAAGATAATATAAATTTGTTTAAAACCATTCACGAGAGCGTCTCGTCGATTATCACCTGCGTTTAACGATATAGGTATACATACTCACCACTAAAAAAACGGACGATTACATGGCAGTTCACGCGTAACGTACAAGATTATATTACGTTTTTATACATGTATACAATATTATTGTATTTTTTTCGGATTAATAGCGTTGAACTGCGTTTATAGCAGCGAGTAATTAATTTACTCTTAGCCACGAGAAATATTATAAGATTATAGAAGAAAGGGAGTTACTTGACAATATTGTTTTTGGGTTTTTTTTTTATACATTTATTTGTTGAGAATTTGATTAATGAGGAAAATAATTATTTGAGTGAAATGAATTTAAATTCGTTTTTACCATCATTAATATTATACCTTTAACGGTCGGTAATGACTTAGCAAACAGCTTTGCAGTTTAGCAACAAATACATATTATTAATTGGACTTTAATTTCACAAAAATAAAATTACTAATTATCACTATGGACATTGTGTGTAATTAACACGCAATAAATTTATGGGACTGGTAGAAGAGGAATATATTTAGGTAATTTGGTATAATGATACTGAATCTTAATCTAGCAGAGAAATTCGTAATCGTACGCGTAGAATCGTAAGAAGTATTATTATATATTTTGAGAATTAACTAAAATGTTACTATATTATGACTGGATAAATGGGATAATGATCGTATGTGAATCAAGTTTTCGAAAGAAAGTAACCTAAAATAAATTAAATGATTTAAAAAAATATATGTAATAAAATATATTGTTATTAATATGTTCGAAAAATATTTATTATATTAAATGTTATTTTTTGTGCATAACTCTTGATGTTTCTTAATTTAATCTATATAATAATAAAGTTTAAACGATCCTAGGTTTGGATTATCGATTTAATAGTCCCGTATAAAATTACTTGTATTAAATCCTGAGTGAATATTGTATAGTATTTAGGCTGATATTTTTTTATTTAACATAATAACATTAAAAAAGGGAATCAAAAACATTAAAATAATGCATACCTGGAACACGGCGATGATTCCATGAGCGCGTTTGATTCGTTCTCGTTGGCTTCCTTCACGTCTTCCAAACCTTTGGTGGACGGCGGTTCGGTTGTGCCTTGCACGTCGCTCGACATGGTCGAATACCCTTCGTCTCGGTTACCACTCTCAGGTGTTTCGTCACCGAGCACTCTGTCACATTTCGCTGTCTCTTCAGCTATACAACAATGGACAATGAACACGTTAAAGTTTTTTTGGTTTAACTTACCTTCCTTTCTACTTTAAAATTAAGAAAGTATTATATTAAAAATAATCGTCAACCGTTTGCCCACATTACAAAATATTTTATCTGAATTTTAATTGGTCATTTGTGCCCAAAATTTTATAAAATTTTTTTCGACTCATTTTTTTAGTTATTCGTGAATCATGAACGGTGAAATAGTTCTTAAATAAGAAAACAATAGAAATGTTGTGGTGAAGTGTGCACAGATAGCGCCACAAATATACTCGTATTTCTATTTTACTGTTCAGTTTTTCAGAAGTCGGGTCATCATGATGATAATAATACTATAGTGTATATTGTAACCGTCCCATCGATATTCTTAAATAATGGTGAAAACCTCATCTAATACGGTTTTGTAGTTTATGAGTTTATGGGCCAACGAAATAATAATCTAAATCTCTTTACATTTTAGTATTAATTTTGGTTTAGGTATATTAATTTATATGTTCATAAGCGGTGTGTTATATATTATTCTTATACATCTTGTGCACAAATAGTCTTTTAAATAACAGATATAATTTCAAAAAATGTGCTCAAAAGATTGTCATCCTTCTGTATTTACAATTATATAATTATCTTACCGTTGTGCGAGCAACAAATTTCTAGATTCAACGACTGAGGTCTGTGGTATGATACGGCTGCTTGCCATCCGTCATTTTTTAACCTCTTCAGACCTTTAGTGAGATCGCAGCTTGCCGGTCGCTCGATAGCCATTTTCTGCGGGATAAATATATATATATATATATATGTATATGTACATAAATACATAAACAATTATTAAATAAGCATTATCACGAAAGAAAAAATGTTATCATTAAGTCCCGGAACTTGATGCATTTGCATCTTTTTTTTCTAATGCTCAAATTTAATACATGTCTATACAGAAATTTGATTCACGAAGTATAGAATTTAATGGTTCAATTTTTATTTTGTATTTTTTGCATTTGTAGGGAATTTTATGCTTTACGGTCATTTTTTAATATTTTTGGTGCATTTTATTCATTTTTGTACTTTTTTTTACAAATATTTGCATTTTTCTTGTTGAAAGTTATTTTTTATTGTAACCACATGCAGTTTCTATTAGCTTATTTTAAATAAACTGTAGGCAGATATTATTTTAGGCCCGGGACACCCATGTGCTTAAAATCGGTTATCGCGGTTAATGATACTGAATAATCGCAATAGCAGTATTTTTTATATATAGTTTTATTTAGTTAAATAAAAATAATTTTAATAATATAATATAATGGTTTTAATATTTTAATTTTTGTATTAAAACAATACCTATTATTTATCAATTTTTACAGTAAAATATACATTTTTAATATTATTTTTTCGTGTCATTTTTTAATATATTTATGATTTTTTTTTCGTGCATTTTTCATATATTTTTAGATCATCAAGTTCCGGGCCCTAGTTATCATGTACAATATTGAGCGACTCACCACGGACGGCGACCGGTGCATGTCAAACATAACCGACCGGTTCTCAGCCACCGGCATTGTGGTAGGTGAATAGTTTATTTTCTGGCCCTGTAGTCGTTGCACCAGAAGCGCGGATAGCGCACAGTTACCGGTCTCAAGCTCTTTGACGCGGTGTTGGAGTGAGGATATCTCTTCCCGCAGGCCCTGCGAGCCAACGAAAAATATTATTTTTGTTATATTATGATGATGGTGATGATGATAAAAAATATACTAGTGTTGTACAGGTTTACTCTAATATTTTATTGTAAACTGGAGCAATAATTAAAAAATAATAGAAATTACATTTTAAAATTTTAATAAATTTCTGATAATTATAGAAAAGTTTAAAATCCTACATGTTTTTTAGTTAATTGATAACATTTAATATTTCCGGAGATATTGCCAACTGATAAAGCATTGATAAAACATTCATCCGGTACATTCCGGACATCCTTACAAACAATTTTTGATTATAATATTACTGCGGTAATTCGATACAGTCGACAGACGTACGGTTATTAAAACAAATATGCTAAGAAATACTTAAAAAGTAAGTCTAAAAATGATTTTAATAATATGTACATAAGGTTATCGTAGTATTATAGACTATTAGTGCGATGACGCGTACCTTTTGTGACAGTACTGCTTTTACCACCTGTTTGGCCACGTCGTCCAAACACCTCTCGTACTGTTTGCGCTGTTGTTCACCCTCACGTTCGATGCGACTTTTTTCGTGTTCCAATATCCGGAGCCGTTCGACTAATGCTTTTTGCACTTGGCTGATGCCCTGCGAAAGACAAATAAAACATAAGATCAAACGTCTATTGCAAGTCGTGCGGCTGTCACGTAAACGCTAGTTCGACCTTTCCCTAAAAAACTTGTTTCTTTTTTATTTATGTTTGTTTTATTTTTTTTTATGTGTGTGTGTGTGTGTGTGTTTGGTATTTACAAACCAAAAAAAAAACATTTAAAATTTATTTAGTTAACAAAAAGAGGGGATGAAATCGTCTTTCATAAAGATTGAGGACCCTTAAAATACGACTATATTATATTAGTATTATATACATTACCGTTGCTTCGAGAGTGTCTATCTGCTTTTTCAACGTTTCGTTTTCAATCTTGAGTTTAGTGATTGCGTTTTGGAGTTGTAAGATTTGATTCTGAAACAAAAAATACGGGTAAATTTAAAATTATTTCACACGATTTGAGTTGATGTTTTAAAGTGATTAAAGACGCTAGTAATATTATCACGTATCAGTATGCAATAAAGTTTCAATGTTTTAGCCTAATCCATGAGTTATTTTAAAAATATATTTGTTTTGTTTGGTTGCGACTTGTTAGCATGAGTAAGGCTTTAAATTTTCTCTCCAAATTTCAAATTATACTGCATTATTATTCCATTGAGGTAGGTTACAATATCATATCACTATGCAGTGTTATATACCCCGATCATTCGTAGCGTATTCATGTGAAATTGTTTGTGTTACTATATAGAATATCGAGTTCAAACCGGGACTTTCTCACGTTTTATAATAGTGATGGTTTAATAATACTTTCGAATGAAATGTTGATATCAAAAATGCATTCATATATCCTCAACAACTTGGGCTCCGCATTCCAACAATAACATCGCTCAAGAAAACAGTGCGCTGTTGAGGTCAACGGGGATTTAGACATACTTATTATATATTTATATATTAAAGCTACGGCGGCCAACGTGATCGCGACGCGTTGGCAATTTGTTTTTCTATTTCACTCGCTCGAAAAGTGCACGTCCGAGTGTGTGATGCGGGAGCGTACACACCTACGTTTCCACGGGTACCTAGCCGACTGCAGTGGTGTATATTATCATATTATTTACAATCGTACCTACGGGGCGGAAACAACCGCGGAAGATTTATAGACTCGCAACAGCGAAGCACGTCTGTCGGCCGATCCGCTGAGAGACTAGCTCGTATACGAGTATATAGACGTGTGTGCTAGAGAGAGAAAAAATTCCGAGCCGTTCGAAGAGCATACCATTAATCTTAAGCCGGCTGCGGATCTCCCCCGGTACCGGCCGAATAAATAAATAAATTGATACCGTCGTACCAACCCCCTCTTCCACCACCTGATTTTTTTCTCTCACCCTTTCTCTTAACGCTCCAAAATCTGCCTGCCATACAATGTAAGTCTTTTTCAGATCTTAAACGCTTAAAATATATACGATGGTATATATGTAAATGTGCTCGTGTAAATGTAAACGCGTGGTGTTCGGGTAAACTTTACGGATGGGCAGAATCCTTAAGGTTCAAAGGCCTCTTTTAGAAATAAATATACATCGATTCTGTGGTAAAACAAAGGACGGGCAATGTACGTAATGATTATAACATTTATAACAATGCTTCCGTTGCCACAAGGTCAATGAAAATCTATCGGACAATGGTGGAATTTAAATTTGAAAATAAATATAATACCTAAATCAATGATCATCGTAATGTATTTCGCTCTGTTCGACGCTAATCGTATTTCGCACCATGTCGTTAAACTATAATGTCTATATACTCTACGCTATATTATGTGTTAATTCCTCTGACGCCCGCGAGTCACGATCGATCGACAACTATATGTTTTATAATTATTAAACGAATGAGAAATAACACTACAACAGTTATATTTCACGCCGTCAGAGAGTATAATCTTGATTTCAGATTTAGTATGCAGCTCGTTTATTTTACGACGCTTTAAAACATTTTCTGAAACACCATTTCCTTTTCCAAGCAGCGGCGATTTAATTAGCAAAAGTATAAAGGTTCTCGAACGGATTGTTCACTATTACAGTTAAAAGGCATTAGGCAGTATAGTGAACAGTCTTGCGATAGGTATAATAATTATTGTTTTAAGTCGATTAAAACGGGATCGACGTTTGACTTTTAGTAGGTACTTATAAGCTTATACAATGAGCAATGCGAACAGACTCCATAGAAGATTTATTTATTAAAGTTATTGATTATTGTGGGTCAGATATGGAGTATATACAAGATTAAAGCAATTAATGTCTGCAAACGCAATACCATAGGTATTTATTATGTCGTTATTGTTTATAGTTTGTGCCGACTTATAATATTATATAACATTTATGATAACGTTTGTCATTTTCACGAAATCAGATTAAAAAATCTCTATAGTCATCGGTACTGTAGCAAAACATAACGATTAAATTATCGTCGAAACGAGAGGTACGTCAAATTATCCACAGATAAATAATTCATTTGAATTCAGGTAAAAGCGACGCGAGAGGTTTAACCTGTCACATGTGTTAAATTATACATGGCAAAAAAAGGGTCTTACACCAGCGGCGGCGCGCCCGTAGGGATTTACGCGTGTTTTCCGTGTTATCAATCGCGAACAGATGACCCGACGAAACGACCGATGATATATGTATCTATATACATACGTGAGAATTAAAAGCGCCATAAATTCTTCGAGGGAAATTATATTTGAACTGTTTTATTTTTTTACCGATTTCATAGCGTTAACAACTTTTGTAGATATACGTCTCCGGGTGATGTTTTGAGAGATGATATTGTTATTTAAGTAATTTATCAAATTTGTATACGTGACATCAACCTTTGAATAAGATTTACGCGCCGTTTGACATTTTATCTTGTATAACGATTAGACGGGTTAAGACGGGATGCAACGTTCTTGGAAGCGTGGCACTTCTGTGATGTGAATAATATGTCCACTTGATTTACGGCATTTATTACAGAAATAATTGTTCAAAATTTAAATATTGCCGCAAATCATATTTTAGCTGAAAACTGTTCACATAGAATTTCGCATTATGCCTTGAAATTCACCACTCGATTAACTGATCCAAAATTTGGCAACAAGGCATCCAATAATGATCACATGAAAAACCGTTGTTACATTAATTGTTTCGGTGCAATTTTGTAGTGCGATTGTACAATTATAATTCATAACCTCGATTTTGTAAACGATGTTTTTTAAGATATATCTAAAACATTTATTGTACACACTAAAAATTATCTATAATTTAACTGGAAAGTTGTTTGAAATTTGTATACAATACTTTTATATTATTTAGGAAAAACGATTATCGTCGGACTTTTGAACAGATGCTAACGAACGTTTGGTGTTTGTTGTGTAAAAACTCGTACTGGTCTTTTCTGGTGATGTTGATAAAGTCATGTAATAATTATACATAATTTATTTTATTTCCCAGGCTTATACGCGTATAAATATTACATACATTTTGGAATCGAACCAAACCTAAATAATAAAGACAAATATTTTTTCAAATAGAAAATTGTAGTGTTGCGTCAAGTTGAATTAGACTAATTTCTGATAAAATTATTTAATTTTATAATATATTACTTTTATTAATTAATATCTCATATAAAAAAATCAATCGTGAGATTTTTTTTATCAAATATTTATCATTAATAAAACATTCCTGAATACAATTGTATGATAGTTAATATAATAGTCAATATATTTCAAAGATAAATGTTGGTATATATTTTATTTGTTGAAATCTGATTACTCCACCCACCAATACGAAATCTATCGATTTTCTACACGATATTATAGTATTATAATCGAAAGCAGGGTTTGAAAGAGCCCTTAACTTATTGATATCGATGCCGCCTTAACGGCATTGTTCTCCTATAGTAAACGACATGCAATATTTCAATATTTTTCGTAGTAGTAATAAGTGTATATTATTATTTTAACAATACTCGAAACGTATTTAAAACGAGTGTTTATATATTATGCTATTTTAATAGTTATTTTAGTCTGTTTGTTTCATACTGGTGAGCAAGTACACAATATATACCATATTTTGTTTTCCAAAGAAAACACTCCTCAAATGGCCGTTCGTGTCGGGTTATAACTTTAAATTTTCAAACTACCCACCAGACTTCCGTATACGGTATACGCCGAGTATTTCGAATGGTCATTCATTTTTTTTTATGTTCATTTATTTATGGAAATTAACATATTATTGCTATATTATGTACACGGTTCTGTACTATTACCTGTAGCGCTGTTTAAAAATATAAACGTGCAAAGTTTTTTAGGTGTGAAGCTTTTAACCTAATGGAACGAATGTAATCATTATTATTATTATTATTATTATATTATGCTTCGGCGGGTAATAGTTATAAGAAGAGAATTTTACCCCTCGAGAAACAAGTGTGGGCGGCGCAGTAATTTTAATAAATTTATGATCATTTCCAGCATGTATCTTCCGCCCGTTGGTGTGTATAATATTATATAAAATACGTATGACTATTATGATACCCTCTAGTACGGGCTTTTCGTTTCGAATACGCGTAAATTAATTTCAAAATTCAAATAAATTTTTTTAGTAAGACAAATCTAGAGAAAGTTTTATAAAAACAAAATAAAAGTAATATAATATGTTTTATAAATAACCGCATTAATCAACGCACACGTGTATAAACAGTATATACATGTAATAATACACAATCAATAAATTACTTGGAAAATTATTTTTTTATTCGTATACTTACATTTATGGGAGCATAAATTAACGACCAATCATTTTCAGTTTAAATTTATATAAAAAACGGTAAGTTAATTAAAACCGTCCCCCGAGTTAAAATCAACAATTGTTATTATTTCCAATTATTGATGCAAGAACCTTTATTGCGACGTTTTTCCTATCGGTATGTTTACACACAAGAACAACATGCCAAAAAAAAATTAAATTAGAATATTATATTATATTAGCTAATTATAATTATTCGTAAAAAAATGGGCTTAAAATTTATTTCTGCCGTCGAGTGTCGAGTTTACAAGTTAAAAATGGAAAACAGCGTGCATTTTTAATTCTTAATTATCTTCAAAAGTTATCGTCAGGCCGGGAAATAAACAAAATGAAATTCACTAAATTCTACATTGTTTTTTTTCTCCCTGTAAAAGATGTACTATAAATAATATGCGTTTAAAATTTTAAAACGAGATTAAAACTGTAGGTATGCCTATAAATATTTGTGTCCTGTAAAAACATACATATTTTTAAAGCAGGTTTTCAAAAACGCGTAATAAACAATAACCACTGCAGCTGTTTTACAACAAACAATTGACGATGATAATATTATAATATATACAATAAATGTATTCGGTC